GGCTTTAACCGACGCCAAAATATGTTAGAAAAATCTGCATGCTCAAACAGAATATATCTGCAAGAAAAATATCTTCAATAAATACGTGGTCAATGATAAAAAAAAAGAGCCTGGAGTGCTTATGAAATTTGCGGTCGAAGGCTCTTTTAATAAACCGCTACAGAGACAAAATATCAAAGATTTTTCAATAAAGCTTCAAAGCAAAAATTGCACTAATCGCCGCAAACGCAATAACAGCACGTTCGCCGGTTTCATTCCGTAACCTCAAAAGATAGAAATCAAAGCAAACATTTCTATTTCAGAAACAAAACCGCTAAAATAAAAAGCATGGAGAATTTAATGAATTTGTAAATAAAACGTTTCTTCAATTTAAATGAGCATATTCCACCTTTTAAGATCTTTTACAGTGATAGTTTTACGATTTATGTCGATTTTACGTCATAAATTCAAGTGTTTCCCTCGAGGTTTTCATTTTATTCTTTGTCGGTTTTAGAAGTCTTGTTTAACCGAGAAATAAGTATAAAATTTCATATGCAATAACTTTGCAGCTCTTAAGAAAAAACTATTCTTATGACAATTGACATTGTTTTGTATTTATAGAGCCCCGATGAAGGTTTGAATTGAACCGAAACGTTGATCAAAGGAAAAAACGTAGTTTCTGTTTGCTTCATTGAACTTAAACCAGTTAAACCGCGCTGAAAAAGGAGGACGAGCTAAGAAAAATACGAAAAACTCAGTAGGTAGAATAAAAATAAAGGTGATGCTCAGTGCTGGATGAGCTGCTCCGAATTCTGAACGAGGAGGGTAATTGTCTATATTTTGCACCCACGCCTATCTCACCTGTTTGAAGAGATACTCAGAAATGTCAAATGTGAAATTTTTTGGTAATATGTTAGTTACAAGTACACAGGGTATGTCACAAAAGTGTGGCGAAGCAACGTTATTCTTTTTTAAATAGAACACTCCGTATATTATTGACCTATTGGATTAGCATTTCAAACCTGATTCCGAATATACTAGGCCTATTCCTCATAGTCCAGCCTCTGAATATCCCATTTTAAAGAAATAATAATGGATTTTTTACTTGAATCAACCCTTGAATGATTACTTTTTTCTATGTGTATTGAATAATATGCGTGATATACATCCATTTTCTATCGATTAATGTGAATAATTACACATACAGTGAGTTTTTTTTTCATTACTCAATTGCTTTCAACCAAGGAAAATATCCTGGTCTCATTACTCCACTATTTAAGAACCAATCATGAGCCAATCAAAAAATTCGACAAGTTGACAACATACTTCAACCTTCCAATCGGTCATTTTGACAGCTGATTTAAACAACACTTGTGTTAACCTAACCTCACTTTGTCCTCCAGCTGTCAGAATTTTCAATTAATTTTGTTATAAAAATTAAATGAAAAACCGCATAACTCGTGCCTAATTATCTACTATCTATAGAAAAAGTATAGTATTCTACTCGTGGGTAATGGCTTTTACTCACTCGGATGATTACACTACTCGCCTGCGGCTCGTAGTGCAAACTTCATCCTTCGTGAGTAATAGCCATTATTACCCGCTCATTGAATAATATACCATTATATTTATATTTTGTTGGTGGTCTCTATACTGCACCTTCTTTAATAAAAATGCGATTATTCCACCCCGTTTTTTCTTATTTTCTCCCGGACTATTAGGAATAAACCTAAAAAACCTAGTATATTTGGAATCAGGTTAGAAAGGCTAATCCAATGGGTCAATAATATACGGGGTGTTCCATTTAAAAAAGTTTAACATTGCTTTGCCACACTTTTGTGACACACCCTGTATAATTGTAATTAACTTCATTGAAAACTTCCTGATACTACCTACAACTTTCACATTTGACATTTCTGGGTTTCTTTTCAAACAGGTGAGATAGGTGTGGGTGCAAAATATAGACAATCACCCGACACCTATCACTATAAATAGGAATTTAAAATTTTCAGAGAATCCTATTCTAGTGAAGGACTGAAAACCCCGAAAATTTCAGCACATTTAGGGCCGGTTTATTTACCTTCCGATAAACTGGCTGGTAATGTTAACTATCTGCAAGATAAATTTACCGTCCTATAATTCTATTGGTGGATAACTAGCCGACCAATGGGATTACAAATTACGTTTTCATCCGTCAGATTGCATACCTGAAAGTTTATCAGAAGGCCAATAAATCGGCTCTTAGACTTATAGTTTCAAAGATAAAATCCCACTAAGAAATGAGCTTTAAGGCTTCAAATTTTACGATGATTCACAGTATGGACTTTGGGAGGTCTAAAATGACCATTTGACCAAAGACAAAATCTCAACATAGAGTAATTGGAAATTTCAACACTTGCATCTTTGACAAGATAAAGTTTTAAAAACTTTGAAAGGAGTATCAAACTTTCAAGAGCTGCATAATCAAAAATCTCAATTAAAGTAATGTTAATAAAATTAAAAATTCCCTTTTACATCAAAAAACCCTATACAAATAACGAAACAACCCGAATTCACAGAGACGTGTCATCTACTCAAAAAAGGCCCGTTCCCTCTAAATACAAAAGCCAAATATTTGCTTTCTCCCCCATGGGCACACCATAAAATATAATAAGCAAGGTCCTTCTGGCCATCAGGGGCCACAGGAGGAAAAAAGAGGGAGACACAACAAGAACATGCCATAAAAAAAAAGGACTAAACGCGTAGATAGGAAGAACACTGAACAGTTGTTTAGGTAGGTACCCATACACTGTTGCCAAGCCACAAATTTTTTTCTAGTAATTGAATATATTTTTGTTCATGCTGGTCTATAATGAATATTGCAAATGGTATTTTTTTCAGTTACTAACAATTTGTTGATGTTGATAATTTCCAAAAAAAATTAGAGTAACAGCACTAATCTTGAACTGATGGGTTCGAGCAGGTGGCACCGTTGCAACCATGCCCACCGAAATATTCAAAACCGACCCATCTTACTTCCATAGATAGAAAGTTAATAGCATTTGTTGGGCGCATGGTTGCCACACATCCGAATTTTTCTCTGGACGTATTTTTCAATCAGTACTTAAATGAGAATTCAGAAGGTACTTGAATTGGACATTTAGTATTGTTCCAGCAAGCATGTTCATTTACAGTTGAAACAAAGTCTTTTGATTCACCAAATACCCGAATAGGTAAGTTTTGGCATCTCAAATACTATGTGACAACTGTCAATACATGCATAATGAAAAGAGGAACCATGGGTAATACCTCAAATCCCATTCACTTATTTAGTTCTCAATAACATTATCCATCTAATTACCAATGGTCATATTCTTTTCTATCATTCATGGTTGAAATATCAGATTTGTGCGTTAACAAGCCGGCAACGTCGCTATTCCGTTTGCCCAAAGACGAGATCGCTGAACTTGAAGAACACTCTCCTTCACCATAAATGCTATGTTGCCAGCTTCGGTGAAGTTTCCTGAGTCACTCGATTTTTCACGGTTCATTGTTGTGGAGGAATGTTAATGTGGTTTTATTGGTGCAATGCGTTCATAGTACCTATGTATTACTATAATAAAAGAGATTGGATTTTGATATTGAAGATATACATACAAAATGATTGAATATTTTTTCCACTTTTTTTGGTATGAATGGTTCATATTATACAGTTCTGACTGAGATTAGTTTAGGATTAAACTTGATGATATGTAAAAAAAAAGGAAAACTGATACTTTTTCTTGTTATCATTATTGTTATCTGCAAATTGCATATTGTTAATATGGCAAAATCTAGAATAATCGATTCATATTTTCTTTCCAATAAATATATAATTTAATCATAATGGGTACAGAGCATTTGCCATATTATCGGAAAATGTTGCCCCAATATTATTGCAAATCTCTTTGTTTCAAATACATCAAATCGTTGTTTATTTTGGAACATGTAGGTATTGTGTTTAAATGTTTTGTCGACAAAATGTTGAAATTTGAATAAATAATGATTGTATTAAATAGGTGAAAACTGAATACTTTGTCCAAAATACATTCTAAATTGGTTGGCAGTGAAAAATCCATATCAGAATCGATTTTCCAAAGCATTAAGGTCCATTATATCCAAGGGTTGGTTAAATATAATTCCACTGAGGTTTGTTAACCGTTGAATTTCTAAAGAAATAGACTCTCAATGTCTTAGTAGCAAAGAAGAAATTTGAGAAATGTCCACTTATACAATGTATAAAATTCAAAGACTCTGTATATGTATTCTGTAATCCAATTTGTTATGATGACTTTGTCTTTATAATTTAAATGTTTCAAATAATTTTTGAAAAGTTCAAGTAGGTATCTTTTTTTTTTTTTGAAAAAGTCCCAGAAATGTGTATGTAATCAATTGAATCCTATTATTTTTCTATAATTATTTCTTATCAAGGCTTTTAGTTAGTTGTTATGTCTTTGTATACGATTCTTGATACGTTCAATTATTCTCATACAAATGTCGCTCATCTCTATGCTTTCAAATTTGCTAAAATCACAAGAGGAAGTAGACTAGTATTTCGAGATTTTGGTGCTGGTAATTTGAAAGAGAAGGAATTCAGCAATCTAGAAGATTTTTGTAATTTTAAAATCAAATTTTCCTCAATTGTCCTTATTAGGTCAAATTTATTTGTTCATTATTTTTTGGCATATTTTATAAGGTCATCTATAAATGAAAAATATTTCAACAAACAAATTAATGAACTTTGTTAATGGAAAATCAAAACGTCCAACTTCGTCCCGGTGAAACAGAGTAACGGAGGTAGAGCACCTTCAAATTTAACATTAACAACTCCAGAGTTGGGATTTTACATTTACATCTAAATTATTTAGGTACGATGCAAATTGTAATCCCCTTATTTGTTTTAAATTCGCTGGGGTAGGTATATACAAATTTTTGCTAATGGATTGTTGTCTCAGTATATCCAAACTTTTGTATTATTTTTTGGATGTTACCTATACACTCACCATGATCTCGTAGTTTTTCGAAACAAGCTGCTTACCTGGAAAAAAAAATAAGTATGAAATTATTGTTGTTTCTCGATAAATAAATTCTCAATATCTAATAATGTTAAATAAGGTTTTCTATATGTGATTCAAGTGATTGCACTGAGTATACTCCATTAAGTTTATAATTAATTCGATAATTTCCTTCAGTATGCGGGTAATGTTAACAGTAATGACCAAACATGGGATTTGCTGTGGTTGAAAGGTAATCAAGGAGCTTCAACAACGTACATTAAAACTCTATACTTGGTATAACGGTATAGTCAAAAACATTAGCAACACATTTTTATTTACTTATTTATTCAGTTATCTGCACATGTAGAGCTTCGTCAATTCTAAAATTTTTAGAATGTTAATGACTTCAATTCACTAGTAAAACTTTTTCAAAACATTGTCAAAGCTAAAACAAACTATGTCCTAATTGGCCCAGGTTGGCCGGACGTTTTGCTTATCGCAATCCAGCACCCGTCCCAACCTCATCTGTTCCGGGTATATTTATCCATCCGGAAAATGCAGAAAAGTCCCGGTAAAACGAGGAAAAAAAAACAACAAAAAACCAGCACGGCGACAAACTAGCTGCATCCAAAATACGACGTTATAAACTGTCTGGGCGAAATTTCGCCAAGCCCGGGAATAAAAACTAGGGAAACTTAAACGAAGTTTTAAGTTTAACTTTTCGGGGAAAAATGTATGGCTCCGGACTCGGAATTGAAAATTTTCGACGAACGGGATGATGGCGAAAAAGTTGGTGAATGTTAAATTTTTCAATAAGCACAATATAATGTCCCAAACACTTGGCTATTGTATAAATTATAATCTTATTTTAACTCTGTACTGAATTGAGGTTGTTACGTGCAAGAAAACACTCTAACAAAATTCTTATGATCATTTCTTAGATCTGAGAGCAAATATCAGAATAATTTAGTAAGTATGTATAGAGTTTTTATTGGACATATATAGTTTTCTAGGCCTCCTTTCTTTTATATCAATATCAAGGGGCAAACCAGCTAGGAATTCTTTGCCAAAAATGTGGGGAATTTAGAGAAATTTGTGGGAAATTTGAAGGAACTCATCGGAATTTATGAGAATTTCGGGAATTTATAGGAATTTCTGGGGAATTTGGAAGAATTTGTGAGGAGTTTATGAGGAATTTAAAGGAAATTGTTCACATTCTTATTATAAAAAAAGTAATAAATGGGAATTTTTAAAAAAAAAATCTAGTTTTGTGTTGGACGTTGGATATTCATTTTTATTAAAGAAATTCTCCCAAAATTTCACTTCATTATTTACAGATCCAAATTTAAAAAATTCAGAAGAATAATGAATTTTTTGTAGGCTGATTTCCGAGGATTTTCATGTTGTTATTTTTCACTGGAAAAATATGAAATTTTGGGAAAATGAGCTTCTAACCTTCCTCTTTACATGCAAAAAGTTTCAAATTTCTCCCTTCACTGTTTTCTAGGAAAACTGAAATGTGTGAGATAGTATTTTCAATTAATTCAGTTTTTGTAAGTTGATTACCAAGATTTTTCATGTTATTATTTTCCACTGGAAAAATTTGAAATTCTGGGAAAATTAGCTTTTCACCTTCCTCTTTCAAACAAAAACTTTCAAAATTTTCCATTCACTAGTTTTTCAGGAAAACTTTGAAATGTGTGAGACTGTATTTTCAACTAATTCAGTTTTTGTAGGTTAATTTCCAAGATTTTTCATGTTGCTGTTTTCCACTGAAAAAAATTGAAATTTTGGGAAAATAAGCTTCTTACCTTCTTCTTTGCATGCAAAAAGTTTCAAAATTTTTCCTTTAAGTACTAGTTTTCCAGGAAAACTTTAAAATTTGTGAGACTGTATTTTCAACTTATTCAGTTTTTGTAGGTTGATTTCCAAGATTTTTCATGTTGCTGTTTTCTACTGGAAAAATTTGAAGTTTTAGGAGAATGAGCTTCTCACCTTCCTCTTTACATGCAAAAAGTTTCCAAATTTTCCCTTCACTAGTTTTCCAGGAAATCTTTGAAATGTGTGAGACTGTATTTTCAACTAATTCAGTTTTTGTAGGTTGATTTCCAAGATTTTTCATGTTGTTGTTTTCCACTGGAAAAATTCGAAATTTTGGGAAAATGAGCTTCTTACCTTCTTCTTTACATGCAAAAAGTTTCAAAAGTTTCCTTTTACTAGTTTTCCAGGAAGACTTTGAAATGTGTGAGACTGTATTTTCAACTAATTTAGTTATTATAGGTTGATTTTCAATATTTCTCATGATGTAAGTTTCCACTGGAAAAATTTGAAATTTTGGGAAAATAAGCTTCTTACCTTCTTCTTTACATGCAAAAAGTTTCAAAATTTTCCCTTCACTAGTTTCCCAGGAAAACTTTGAAATGTGTGAGACTGTGTTTCCAACTTATTCGGTTTTTGTAGGTTGATTTCCAAGATTTTTCATGTTGCTGTTTTCTACTGGAAAAATTTGAAATTTTAGAAAAATGAGCTTCTCAGCTTCCTCTTTACATGCAAAAAGTTTTAAATTTTTCTTTTCACTTTTCTCAGGAAAACTTTGAAATGTGTGAGACTGTATTTTCAACTTATTCAGTTTTTGTAGGTTCAAATTCAAATTCAAATTCTTTATTACCAGGTGAATAACAATCCATACACGAGTATACACAATAGCTCACACTACTACAATGTATAGTATATCCTGCAGAGACAACAAAGTCTGTGTGCAGGCCTAGTTGGTGAAACTCTGCAGACCAGCATATACAATGAATGCAGCCTTACAGAGCTCCACCATCAACCTATGACTAAAGGTGCACACCCTTACTTAAAGTATGATAATGAGCAAATTACCACACTTCAAGTCGTACACCTAAAAAAAAATCCCTAATGTAAGAGCAACATTTCAGTTATTGTGTTTGTAACAATCATTATATAATAAATGTATATTTGTAAAAATAAATAGTTATGCTAACAAAATTCATACTCACAAGATGAATTCTTTTTTTTTTTCTTTTTCCCTATATTATACTATAATTATATTATAAATTTATATTTGAATTTATTAGAAAACTTTTGATTCTATTTTTAAAAATTTTACTTACTCTAACAGAAAGTTTTAATTCATTTGGTAGAAGATTAAAAATCTTAATCGCACTAATTTTTGAAGCCTTTTTGCCAACCTCAAGTGAAGTTTGGATACATGGAATGCTTCTGTTTCTGGTGGAAACGTTTCTACTATTGAAACAGGACTTAAGATAATCAAAGTTTATGATTAAAGTTTTAAAGTAATAAATTTGTTTTATTTTCAATATCATACTTTCTTTGTATATCCTATCTAATTGATGACTTCTTACTTGAAATATAAGTTTCACTACTCTATTTTGAATATTTTGTACAAACTTGAAATGTGTGAGACTGTATTTTCAACTAATTCAGTTTTTGTAGGTTGATTTCCAAGATTTTTCATGTTGCTGTTTTCCACTGCAAAAATTTTGGGAAACTGAGCTTCTCACCTTCCTCTTTACATGCAAAAAGTTTCAAAATTTTCCCTTCACTAGTTTTCCAGGAAAACTTTGAAATGTATGAGACTGTATTTTCAACTTATTCAGTTTTTGTAGGTTGATTTCCAAGATTTTTCATGTTACTGTTTTCAACTGGAAAAATTTGAAATTTTGGGAAAATGAGCTTCACACCTTTACATGCAAAAAGTTTCAAAATTTTCCCTTCACTATTTTTCCAGGAAATCTTTGAAATGTGTGAGACTTTATTTCAATTAATTCAGTTATTATAGGATGATTTCCAAGATTTTTCATGTTGTTGTTTTCCACTGGAAAAATTTGAAATTTTGGGAAAATAAGCTTCTTACCTTCTTCTTCACATGCAAAAAGTTTCAAAATTTTCCCTTTACTAGTTTTCCAGGAAATCTTTGAAATGTATGAGACTGTATTTTCAATTAATTCAGTTATTGTAGGTTGATTTCCAAGATTTTCCATGTTGCTGTTTTCCACTGGAAAAATTTGAAATTTTGGGAAAATGAGCTTCTTACCTTCTTCTTTATATGCAAAAAGTTTCAACATTTTCCCTGTACTAGTTTTCCAGGAAGACTTTTAAATGTGTGAGACTGTATTTTCAATTAATTTAGTTATTATAGGTTAATGTCCAATATTTCTCATGATGTTAGTTTCCACTGGAAAAATTTGAAATTTTGGGAAAATGGTCTTCACACCTTCCACTTTACATGCAAAAAGTTTCAAAATCTTCCCTTCACAGTTGTCCAGGAAAACTTCGAGATGTGTGAGACTGTATTTTCAATTAGTTCAGTTTTTGTAGGTTGATTTCAAAGATTTTTCATGTTGCTATTTTCCATACTGGAAAAATTTAAAATTTTGGGAAAATGAGCATTTCACCTTCCTCTTTACATGCAAAAAGTTTCAAAATTTTCCCTTTACTTGTTCCAGGAAAACTTTGAAATGTATGAGACTGTATTTTCAATTAATTCAGTTATTGTAGGTTGATTTCCAATATCCCTCATGTTGTTATTTTCTATTGGAAAAATTTGAAATTTTTGAAAAATAAGCCTATAACCTTTCCACTCTTCACATGCAAAAACTTTCAAATTTTTGCTTTCACCCCACAAATTCGCAGGGAATTTATGGGGTATTTGGAGAAGTTCGTGGTGGGGTATTTGGAGGAATTTGTGATGTGGTATCTGGAGGAATTTGTGGGGAATTTGGAGGAATTTACAGGAATTTTGAGGAATTATGCGTAAAAAATTCCCCTTGGAGGAATTGTTTGCACAAATTCTGGGATGGTGGTTTAACCCTTGATCAATATTATAATAGCGTTTTCACATTTTCATGGTTTTGTTCCAGTTGTCATTAAGAGTTCCATCACATTCATTCATCTAGGAATCGTATGTACAAGCTAAAATAGATTTTTGTTGGGAATGTTACACTATGTATCAAAAAAAGGCATTATCCTATTAAACCATAAATTATTTCATCCCATT